CAATGAATAAATATAATATAGAAGTTTCACTTTTTAATGGACTTACTGAAATAAATCAACTTTTTCATGATATTCTAATTTTACGACCAGCACCTGTATATACAGTTGTCTCTCAAAACTTCACGGTTTGACTTTCGCGGACTCACTCTTATGTGGGTTTTCAACATAAGATTGTACACATTGTTTCCCGGTGGCCTGACTGCTCAATGATCACTGAGGGGGCAAAGGTGGGGTCTGTCTTTTCAAATAAAATGTATTATTATTATTATCAGTTCTAGGTTGTACTAAGACAGTTCTACTTGGAATAAAGTCACTCAGTTTGAGCAGTAAAAGCTGAAAACATATTTCAAATAGGAGGGAAATATTGTGGAGGAGGAGATGCAGGACAAGGTCCAAAAAAGGGTAAAAGTTTACTGTCTAGCTAAAAACATTTTTCCTTTGGCCCCAAAAATGATGTAAATATGTTTAAAAGCCCAGAGGGGTATGATTTGATATTGGAATTTCTGGAGAAAAACTTCTCCCTGTCCTGCATTTCATGCATAGGAAATGAGAACTTTATGATATATTTTTAATTCTAAAATCATAGTTTTTTTTGTACTGAACATGTGCCAATATAGATATTATTTATTTAGTGTTTAATTATTTTGTGCCTAAATTAATTTGAGCTCCATCACCAACCTAGATTGATTTTCCATTCTGCACTCTGATTACCATCTAAGCAAGTGCTGGCAGCACAAACCGGAAGGCACTTGTAAAATTGATGTGGATTTGTGTAAAAGTGTCAGTGGAAATCTAAACCTAAATAATGCCAAATCATGAGTAAAGACAGTCTTAGGGGGTAAAGGAATTATTTAAGCTAAGCTAAGATAAGATAAGCTAAGATAAGCTAAACTAAGTTAAGCTAAGCTAAGATAAGAGAACTTTATTGATCCCGCAGGAAATTGTTGTGCCAGAGTTTCAGTACAAAGAAACATACACAAAGAATCACACAAGATATATAAAAAATAACAAAAATATAAAAAAATAACAGAGAATATAAAAATACCAACAATTCAGGTCTAAAATAGGTCAGGTGCAGACAGAAACATTAAATTGTTTACTGTAGTGCAGGATTTATTTAATTGTCTTAAGGGGAAAGGAGTTGAAAAGTTTGATAGCCACATGGAGGAAGGACTTCCTGTGTCGAAATAATTTTGACACAGGATTTCGATACATTTCAAATTTAGGAGAGTGTTAAGGCCGGCTGAAATGGGCTCAGGGAAGATGGATATATGCGCTTTGAAGAAAATCTCATTTCAAAGGAATTTGTTATTGATTTGAGAGGAAGAAAGTTCAAACATGCAGGGATGAATCTGGGTAAATCATTTTTCATGATGAATGGTAAAAAATTGAGCTTTTATGATCCTCTGGGTTCAAATGATGTCATGAAACCGAGTTGCTGGAGTCTGTGTAAGAGGCATTATTAAAAAGATTATTTTTCCTTTATTGAAAAACATAATACTTGTATCTATCGATGCACATCACTAGTACATGCATGCTTTTTCTCATTGCGTCTGTTGCTGCTGCCTCATGTCAGCACCTTTTAAGCATGATCAAAAGCAGTACAGGAAGTTGACCTGGCCTCTGGCTCTAAATCATCCTCTACCACCATCCTCCCCATGGAACAACTGTAAGCGATGAAGACACTTCAGATGCTGTCAAGGTTTTGAGGTTCAGATCCCCACAAGATGGGTAGGGAGGGCTGCAAAGATGAGGCTTAGCTGCAGGGTCAGGGGGAGGTGAGGTGCTGATGGTGAAGCTGAGCTGGTAGCTGATTTATGAAGGAGAAAGCAGCTTTGTGATTTGTGGATAAGTGGAGGACAAACTAGAGGAGAAAAGGAAAAGCTAATCACAAAGATCAGTACCGCTGCCCTTCTGTTCTGACCCCTATACGCCTCTGCTGACACCACAGGGCAGCGTGATGGATTTTAAGTGACATGCACACACATCACTGTTCAGTGTTGTGTTTGGGCACTGGGATTTTAGAAATATTGTGTTCAGACGTGTTCCTGTCATTTCATTTGCTAATGGGATGCAGGCTTTCACCTCTGCATCTGCAGTTTGCCTGATGTTAACAGGAGATACAAGCAATCAGGAAAACCCCAATGAGCTCAGAAAGTGTGTTGAGAGAAAGATACAGTGTGCAAAAAAATGAGTTGACCAGAATAACAAGTAGATGAATTTTATTGTTCATGTGTTTTCAGCTCTCTCATATTGATAATGGCCTCAAGGTGCAGTTTAAGAAAGTAGAACTAATCCAGAGAAAAACAACACTCCCACACACCGTTAAACTTGCAATAGGAATATTTTATTTTAGAAACATTTCAATGACTTGGCCCTCATCAGGAGAACCACTTACAACCATTTAGAATCCATCCTATTTAAGGAACAGGCTTGAAAGTTCAACCATTCACATTTAGAGTATCCAAATGTTTAAACTGTTACAGTCATTCATAGTATTCACAGCAAAACAATACAAAAGCATGCATCTTATTTTCTGTTGTCATTTTTCTTTGAAGCCATGTAAAACAGACCTCTGAATTATCCAAGCATAGGAATGGTGCATAACTCAAGGGATGAACCACTGACTACAGTAACAGAAAACAATAAAATGTTAATATATTTGAGGGGGTTACTAGCAGCTTGCAGATCAGGACATATATTTACTTTTCATTTGGTGGGAAGCTGTGGCTGGGTGGTTAGAACAGTCGTCCTCTAATGCAAGAGTTGGGGGTTCTATTCCACCAGCAGTCACATGCCAAAGTGTCCCTAGGCAAGTCACTAAACTCCTCATTGCCTCCGATGTGTGTCCCATCAGTGTATGAATTTGATAAAGCACTGATTTTTCTTTGTAGAGATCTAGTAGAGTGCTGTATGAATGGGTAAATGAGGACACAGATTGTAGTGTAAAGTGCTTTGAGTGTCTTGATAAAATAGAAAAGCACTATATAAGTACAGTCAATTTACCATTTGTTTAAATATATCTAACAAACTAAGACTTAAGATACTATAAACACCTTTTACACAACACCTTTAAACAATGCTTGACACATCTTCATCCCACTTTGAAAAATATTAAAGGTAATTAAAGTGGCAGCACAATGACAAAGTTGGTAGAGCTATTGTTTCTCAGCAACAACGTCGCCAGATCGAATCCTGGCTGGGGATCTTTATGAGTGGATTTTGCATGTTCTCTCCATGCATTTGATTTATTTTTCAATTTATATGCTTTCTTTTGTAATTGTCTACTGTTGTCATCATTCTTTGTTTAAATCAGATCTCTTGTAAATGAGTCCTCGAGGCTCAATGAGACCGACATGTATAAATAAAGGTTGAATGAATGCACGTGTGGATTTTCTCCAGATACTCTGGTTTCCTACCATAATCAGTAACACACACACACGCACACACACAAAACTTGAATTTTAATGCCAGTTCAATTGTACACCCACATGGATAAAACAGCAAGTTATAATCTGAACATTTTGAAAATAAGGAAAGTCTTCACTGTCAATGAAAGCATGTAGCTGTGCACTACTGGAACATGCTTTCCAACAAATTGCCCCACTGGGAACAAAAAGGCTCAAGATTAATATCTTTTTTAGCATTAGCAAATAAAAATTATTGAGATGTATTTATTTGTTTGTTTGTTTATTTATATATGTATGAAATCCCCATTTCAAACTACATATTATTAATATACCCAGTTGTATTTAAAAAAATACAATAAAATTCATCAACTCATGGCCGCAGCCCATTTTAGTCTGTGAAAACTCAGTTTGATACACAGATGTAAGTTTCTGTCAGTATTTAAGCATCTGGCCATCAAAGGTCTTGTACAAAAATATACAAAAGTGATACTTTAAAATCAGTTTTTGGGACCCATCAGTCCAACGTGCTGTTTATCAAGCATATGTTTAGCAGAGCCTTGATCATTCCGCTCCATCAAGAGAAACCGCCCTCAGATATTTACATTAGAAAATTATGTTTATCGAAGCTCCACACACAGAAAAAGTTGTCACTTCACTAAGTATACAGTCATTAATATTACACTGTCATGAATGAGTATGTGTTTATTTTTTCATGGGACTGGTTTGATGTACAGCCTTGTCTATAACCCTGCTCCTTTCATCAAGCCTTTCAACTTCTCCATTTAATTGTTTAAATCATTCATGAATGTTTCAGCACATGCTGATGTATGCTTTAATAATGCATTCACTTTTAATGATGAATGCCCATTGGTGACTGTTGATCAGATGGCATGTGTTGCCCTACTGCAGGCACAAATGTGTCAGTCTTGGTTGCCACTTCTGTTGGTCAACTGCTCTGGTCTGTTTCAACTTTGATTGGTGACATGTCACAGCCTACTGGGCGTGAGGGGAGCACTGGTGGTCTGCATGGCCTCAACGATTTTTTTATCCTCCTGTGCTGTCCTCCCAGTATTGGTTCTTTCATATTGCTAAAGGCTGAAACAACATTGTACACAGATAAAACTTCTATAAATATGTGTGCTCCATATCCATAATCATGTTGTAAAATCTATACTCTTGTTTCACTCTCCGTTCCTTTCTGCAGCACTTTCCTGTTTTGCTTGCTGCCTTGTTTTAAAGCGGTCAGGCCACACACATGGGCAATTGGCGGTTATGTTCTGGAAGTGTTATTTGCACAGATAAAAGTGTGTAATGAATAAGCCTTTGACCTGCCTGGGCTTCTAGGCCAAGTAAGACACTGAGCACTCTGTCGGACGGCTCACATGCTTGAAAGAATAACACTTGTGGTCCACATTTTTCATGTCTGTTTATTAAGATTTATTGGTCAAACTGGTCCGTGGTAGAGAGAGGGGACATTAGGTTTACCCAGAGGTATTTTAGCTGTTGAGCTGAGTGTGGTATTTTTATAATGAGCAGTTATAAGAAGTGGTTGAAGTAATAATGATAACGTTTTTAATCCTTCTCTCTCAGGGGCAGAAAACAGAAGCCGAGAGGTACTTCCTGAAGGCCATCCAACTCGATCCCACAAAAGGCAACTGTTACATGCATTATGGTAAGATTTGTATTTTCTCTTTCAGGGCGACATCTCCTGACTCCTTTCTTGCATCTCAGTTGTCTGATTTGCCTGTGTGAGATAGGGTTGTGAAAAGGTTTGTGCACAAAGACAGGAATTTGCATGTTTTAGTAGGTTGTTTGGACAGCAGTCCTAGCTGACCCCCTTTGCTACTTCTTCCTTTAAACATCCTCAGTTTGTACAATAATTTACAAGAAGAAAGGATGATTTCCTTACATTGTTCGCTTTCATTTGATGAAAATGCAACAATTTCAACATCTTTTTGGACTTCTAGTATTTCCCTGTGATCCACACATGGGACAAATTGCAGAACTAAATCATAGTTGTAAATGATATTTTTGGTCATTGTTTTGGCTCAATAACCTTTTTTATATATCCTCTGTAAGGTTGTCTTTCTGAAGCTGAATTTTAGAGTAAACAGATGTGTCACCACAATGTTATTCCTCAATCAGTACACTGAGTTATTGAAGATTTGTGGATGGTTTGTTGCAGCATTGTATGTATAATTTGTTAGATAGCTTACTGCTTCACACAAGCAAAATTGTTTTAGAAAAAGAGAATAAACATGCTAGAAATATAAATCAATTAGGACAGAACAAAGTTCAGTCAGGTCATCTGGACGGTTTCTTTTTTTTTTTCCTTCTTTTTTTTTTTTTTTTTGACGTTTCATCCTTCATCCATCCGAGGAGCCACAAACAAACTCAGTAGAGTTGAACTACTTTGTCTATGGCTGCCTCAGAGGAGTCGACAGGGGAGAGGGTGGGCCCCAGAAACCATCTTATAACCAGCAAACTGGTTGGTCCACTATAGTTTGTTTGTGGCTCCTCAGATTGATGAAGTCCTTTGGATGAAGGATGAAACATCTAAAAAAAAAAACATCCAGATGACCTGACTGAACTTTCAGATGTTTACCTGGATTACTGAGCATAAACTTTGATAGGACGGAACATATTTTACCAACTGAACATTGGTTTTCTTTGCATGCATCTTTCTATTTTCCTTTACGTGCTTGGCTCTGGCTCAACAGGGTAACACATTTGCAGACATTAAAATGTCATACATGTTATGCACCGTTTAAAATTTTATATTAAGTTACATATAACTCCTAACTAACATCCTAACTCACTGTGTGTATGTGTGTGGTGGTATAAACTGTTAATACAGCCACCATGGGTCAGTGTAAGGTTTTTTTTTTTTTTATGTGTTTGACTTTTCTTTCTTAACTACAATTATTTTTTACTTATCAAAACCATCAAACGCTGCAGAGGTGTTTGTAACAAATTAATTTTATAATCATGCATGGTTTAAGAATGTACTTTGCATCTCACCTCTGTTCTACATGTTATAGCTGCAGTATTTTCTAGTTAATTTTCTTGTTTTGGGGGTGGTTTAGCATCCTGATATACTGATGAAGGTAACTAAAGTCAGCAGGGTAATAATTCTTCCCATTTTTAGCCTTTGCAAAGGCATGAACTTCTTGGTTCATGGCCTTGTCGGGCTTCCACAATCTGCACATCAGGCACACCTGTAATATAACACATACTTTCTGCAAGAAATATTTTCCTTCAGCAGAAATGCATCTATCAAGGTCAGCTAATCTGAACAAATGGCTCCTGGAAATAACCATGGAGGGATGGCTTGTTGCACTCATATCCAGTGTTTCAACATATTGTTACAGGGGAAACTAGACTGCCCCTGTAGTTGTGCCAGAGTCAACATTATTGCATGGTGTATCCCTCTGTGCCTTTGTGGAGATCTGTTAGTGTTTTAACAGTGTTGACGTTTTTCTCTTGCCCTGTTAGGTCAGTTTTTATTGGAAGAGTCACGGCTGCTGGAAGCAGCAGAAATGGCAAAGAAAGCTGCACGCCTGGACAGCGGGGAGTTTGATGTAGTCTTCAGTGCAGCCCACATGCTCAGGTAAAGGTTTCATTAGAAAAATGTTTTTTATTGTTTTTTAATTTCTTCTGTTCATGACATCTACACATAGCCAGTATTTTATTCCACATAGAAAATATGGATGGGCTATTTTTCTTGGCAAGGTGGAAAAGGCACTGAATATGAGACAGTGAAGTCTACTGTCTGCACGGTTTATCCATGGGCTTGCACTACTCCTCAGCCTGAGTGATTTACTTGGCTCTATTTTCTAAAACTTCTCTCACGTAACGGTGGAAGACCAAGAACTAGAACTGATGCTTTAACTTAGAGCTCATTGCAGCTATTTATTCATAAGCTGTCTCCTCAAACCTTAAATATATCTGCCTATGTGTCTCAGTGGGTTCTTGTTAAGACTTGAAAGTATGTTTTGAAATTAGTGCAAAGTTTAGTTAATGAGCTTGAGTAGAAAAGCCCTCATGCTGTTCTGTTTGTGAGGCCATGTGCGGAAATGTGTAAACACTGTAAAGCAAAGTGCCAGCTTACTAATGCTGTTCCCCTAATTGAAAAGTGTTTTAGCCAGCAGAGAGATCTTTCTTTAATCTCATTATGCCTCAACATTTTGATGATGCAGTATCTATACCGCCAACACTTTCCAGTATAGAGAACGTCTTTCAGGGTTCAGACCCCTGGCAACTAAAGAGACTTTTAAGCAGTGTTTTTGTTGAACTCATCCCTGTCTGCTTGGCATGGGGGCCTATTCCTCTCCAGCTCATGCGCTTTATGTGTTTGTCTTGGACACAGACATGGAAAGGCCCTTGGATGATGTGAACACAAGTGAACCTACACAGGAGAACAGACGGGATTGCAAGGAGAAATCAGAAGCTTGAAAATGTGTGCATGCCTATTTATTACCCTCTTGAGCTTCTGGTTTTTGTAGTCGGTTCACAGAGGCAACAGGTCCAACCCAGACATCCCTCTCCCCAGCAACAATTTTCAAAGTTCAAGGTGACTTTATAGTAATTCGCATCACATGTGGTACATGAGGTGGAACAAAACTGTGTACTCAAGGTCCAAGTTACACCCAAAAAATAGCAATAATTTAAACTACAACAAAAGAAACAGTATACAACAATCTAAGATATATGCTAAACAATAATAATATCGTATAATGCAGTGTATTAAACAGCAGCCTGAACATTTTCAACTTGTTTTGGGGGAGATCTGTAGATGTTTCCAGACCAGAGAATCCCTCCAGCAACTCCTACCAGTGTGAAAAATTAGACATCTGGTAAAAGAAAATCCTTAATAAAATTATAAAGTCCGAAATTATAAAGTGTACATGGCAAGGGAACAAAAAAGTTAAATGGTCTGACAGAAAGGTTGGAGTGAAGCTAAGGGCAGCTGCCCATTGCCTTTTATCCAATGATGTTAGACACCATTAATGAAATATATCCTGTCATTGTAATTAAATCAAATGAACCAGGAAGCACAGATCTGTCACGGTGAACTTCTGAGGCTGAAATATTTACAACTTTAAGTACCGGTATGTATTTAATAAAATAATTACTGTAAACACAGAGGCTCTTAGGAGCTTGGTAGGGCTTAGAAACTTATTTATTTAATAGTTGTGTCAAGAAACCAGTTGCTGCACATTATAGGGGATTTTGATATATCTGGACATCATACAATGAGGCTGTCCCATATGGCTGGCATGGCACAAATCAGGGACGACTGTGAAATACCCAACCCTGTCAGCCAGCTACCGCTGAAAGGCTCTGGTTGCAAGGAGCTCCAGTGTGATGAGGACTTTTACTGGCGCCAGCACACAGCTCAAACAGGATCATCAAAGAATGTGAGCCTGGTGAGAACGGAAGTGCCTCTCAGACAGTTTACAGGCATTTAATGCACCTCAGCTGTTTGTGAACCTCACAGGTGTGCGGTCACTGATGTGTGTTTACATCTACACGTGACACAAATTAGAATTAAGTTGTTTGGATCATTTTTGAGGTGTTATATTTTATATTGTATGAAGTTGAATGTAGTTCAGTTTCATTAACAGTCTTTAAAACCATAAATGCGCAAACCCATGAACAATTGTTGTGTTTAAATACCACTTGGGTTCAGGAAACTGAATGGAGTCATATTTTGTTGTATTTAGGTGAGTTTTAGTACTTTGCAATTTGATGCTGTGGACTAAAATGTTTTATTTATTTATTTTGTAGAGGTAAGAACATTCTCATGACAGGTCAAAAGTTTACATATACAGTAGTCCCTCGCTACTTTGCGGTTCATTTATCGCAGACTCACTCTATTGCAGTTTTTCAAAATAAGATTGGACATGACACACAATTGACTGATTGTTGGATGAGCTGCACGATCAGCATGGAATTTTTATTTAAAATAAATTGTTTAAAATTATTTAGCGCCTGCTGCACATTTGTGCAACCCATCCTGCAAGATATACTTCCTGCTGCAGCTAATCAGCTGTTCTCGTGCAGAGCGGAGAAGTGGGCGTGGCCAAGAGCTCTTGCAGGTGGCTGAGAGCAGAGGAGGCAGGGAGCTGAAATCACGACATTCTGGTGTCGTTAAATTGCTTCAGTTTGGTTCAATTGTCTCAGTTAGGTTCAATATGGGGAAGACTGCAGACATAAAAACAGAAGACCATCATTGACCCTCCATAGGATGAGTAAGCCACAAAAGTTCATAGCTAAGGAGGCTGGCTGTTCACAGAGTGCTGTGTCCAAGCATATCAATGGAAAGTCTAGTGGAAGGGCAAAATGTGACAGTAGAAGATGTGCCAGCAAAAGAGATGATTGTGGGCTTCAGCAATTATCAAACAGAGAAGATTCCAGAATCTGGCAGAGATCCAGAAAGAGTGGAATGAGACGGGAGTCACAGCTTCAAAAACCACCACATTTAGATGCATCCGGGAGATGGGCTACAACTGTCGGGTTCCTCTGTCCTCTTTTCCGATGAAAGTAAAGTGTGCCTTCCATTCGGAAATCAAGGTCCAAAGGTTTGGAGGAAGAAGGGTGAGGAACAGAACCCATACTGCTTGAGGTCCAGTGTGAAATATCCACAGTCAGTCATGATTTGCGGTGCAATGTCCGGTGCAGGTGTTGGTAAACTCTGCTTTCTTAAATCCAAGGTCACTGCAACAGTCTACCAGAATGTTTTGGAGGATTTCATGATTCATTCTGCTGAGGACCTGTATGGAGATGCAGATTTCATCTTCCAGCAGGACCTGGCCCCTGTCCATGCCGCCAGAAGTGCCAAAACCTGGTTTGATGCCCATGCCACAGTGTTTGACTGGCCAGTCAACTCACCAGACCTAAACCCATTGAGAATCTATGGGGTATTCTCAGGAGGAAAATGAGGGGCACTAGACCCAACAACAAAGAAGAGCTGACAGCAAGCATCAAGGAAATCTGGGCTTCCATAACTCCCAGTCAATGCCACAGGCTGATTGCCTCAATGCCACGTCGCATGGAGGCAGTGATTAAGGCCAACCGAGTATTGAAGATTGACATATCGTTTTGAAAGTACCATATTTTGATTGAGTTGTTGTGATCCTAATGTATTTCTTTTTTTCCTGCAAAAACTGAGTAGTGTAGGCCGATTTCTTCACAGAACTTTAATTATTTGAAATCCTGTTTCCGTGGATTTCATGAGCTGGAAGCCCAAATTATGTAAAAATAAACAAATAAATACTTGAAATTACTAAAATATTTGTTATTCTTTGACACGATTAACCCAAAATTTGATCTAAACACACAAGGCAGTTTTATATCATGTCATTATTAAATAAATCAAATCTCTCCTTGGTCTGTGATGAATCAAACATTTTGGTGTTTCAGTGCATTCAATCAAACATAAATCCACAGTTTTGAGGTCACTTTGATCTAAAACTACACACTCTGTGATCTTGTTATAGACTGACATTCTAAATGAAACTGAGGTCCCAGCAGCTGTGTAGTCTTTGATCTGGGCAGTTTATGTGGCTCCTTATCCTACCGTCAATAACCCTGTCCTTTTAAATAATTTACAATTCAGCAATTGTTCCCTTCAGTAAAAGCCTGTAATATGTGGATTATAAAGATTATTTTGGGAACGTCTTGGTGATGAAGATGTGAATTTGCAACATTCACCTTGTCTGTATGTCTTCAGTGATCAACAAAAATGCACAGTGATTATTCTTCATCCACACTGGCTTCTTAATTTCTTACAAGCACTCTATGAACCAAATGTCCTGACCTCAAAGTTCCTTCCATTAGAGCAGGAAATGTTCGTTGTGCACCACTCAGCACAGCTGGTATCAAGTGAAAGATGCTAATGAATGAGAAACCTACTGGATCAGCTTGTCCCATCCCCCTTGTTGTTTCCTCATGTTATTTTCTCACTGACCCCTGGGAACTAGTAAACACATTGGGTTCAAGGCCTCATCCGAAGCCAGGGGTAATAAAAATGAGTAACGGTTGCCTCTCTCTGTTTTCCCTTTTCAGACAAGCCAACCTTAATGAGGCAGCTGAGAAGCATTACAGACAAGCAGCAAGTCTGAGACCAAATGTGAGTAAAACTTTGACCTACTATTCCTACTCATTACTATTTACTTTGATAGACAGAGTGCAATCACAAACTGGGTGGCTTTCCAGTATCATTACTGGCTACTCTGCCTCCTCACAATAGGATCCCTTGTCAGTGGAGTGCAGAATAATGAAGTCTAGGTTTTTACTGAGCTCAGAAGTTTGCCTGTGCACCATCCATCAACAACTTCAAAGGAGAGGCCAGAGTAAGCAGATTGGAAAGAATAATGATAATAGCACTCAGTCAGGGGACTGTGACATCTTGAAAATGGATGGATTCAGTCTGTAAGAGCTCTGACAGGATGTGTCAAGGTATTTAGGTGAAGGCTGCAGACAGTGGAGGTATGTAAACATGTGGCTCTCCTGTGTGTTCCTGTGTCATTGTTACTAAAAGGCAGCTATAGATAAATGATCAAATATATCTTGACATTGTTATACAGAAACCATCGGGAGTGGTGGTGCAATGGTTATAGAAGGTGGGCCAGTGATCGAAAGATTGTTACTTCAACTCCCAGTACCGACAACACCAAAATGTGGGTGGGATAGGTGAAGTACCCACACCTGCCTCCACCCTCATTTACCCAACTCTGGGCCCTTGAGCAAGGCCCTTAACACCCATCATCTGCTCCCCCGGGCGCCATAGATGGCAGCTCTCTACTCCACACAGAGGGCTGTGGTAGCTCAGTGGTTAAACATAATTGCCACGTCTTTGTGTGACTTAGTTCGCTGTGGCCACCCCTGAAGAAGGGAGCAGCTGAAAGAAAAAATGCTATACAGAAACCATAGTTTGGCGTTTTATACAAAAACCCTGAAATAATATTCACAAATCAGACCAACAAAAGTTTGTGAAAAACTGAGGTTAGGGCTTCACATTTCCACAGAAGCCATAAAGCTGATCTCTCAACCCACTGTTGTTCAAAATGTCCACATGGAATCAAACTTTTGCCAAAGTATCATGCATTATTAATATCTAGTTAATCCCAAAGGGAAGATTAGAAGTCTTTCCTCATGTTGCAGTTGCTAAAATCAATATAAGTGAATCTCTATTTTTAAGCTTATGTTGTAGACTAATATAACAGTGCAGGGTTTTAAATTATGTTAATAACTTGAGTAAAGCCTCAACAAAAAGACAGCTAAAGCTGTGTTTTACAAAAAGGAAAACAGATTAGTAAAATGAATGAATTTTTTTTTTTTTAAAGTTGCAAAAAGACTTTGCGGACAGATATTAAATTTTATTGTAAAATCACAGAATGTGCATGTCCTGCAATGCATTGCATCATTAAAATATTAGAGGAATAAGGGGAGTTCATGTGCAGCAAACTAAGGAGTTGTCTTGAGTAACTTTAATCATGAGGCCTTCAGGCAGCACTGCATTAAAAACAGACATGGTTCTGCAGAGAAAATCTCTGCACGGACTCAGAAACATTTCTGAAAACCACTTTGAGTGAGCACAGTCCGTCTCTTCGTGTACAAAACTTTTCCATGCAGTCTAACATTTTTAAATACTATTCAGAAAAGAGCTGTTTTGTCCTGACCCAGTCTTGTTTAGTGTGAATTGAATTCAAGCTGAAAGGTGTTTGGACAAATAAATATAAATTTGTAGTTCATTTTTGAAAATGATGGATGTTACAGTCACCAAGATAGAGATAGACTACGTTCACCTCACACAATGGTTTTGAAGGAGCTACAGTACAGCAGCTGAAGGAACGTATAATAAAAAATTGATTTGCAAACGTATTTTCCTTTACAGTAGTCCCTCGTTTTTCGTGGGGGATCCATATCCAGAAGCCCTGCGATAGGTGAAAAACCGCGAAGTAGGAATAGTAGTACAAGTAGTCGTTTATTTTAGTGTGTATATATAAATATATAAAAATTATTTTTATTTTTTGCAATATTCTAAGCAATGTTTCTAAACTCTAAATGCTCTAAAAAAAAAAAAGTGCAGAATGTCATGACTTCAGCTCTTTGCCATGGCTGCACTCTGCGGTCTTGGCCACGCCCACTTCTCCACAGCAAAATGGAGATCACAGAGGAAGGAGGAGGAGCTGCAGGAGGACGTTTCTCCTACAGTGTGGACTGCACACAGGTGCTAAATAATTTAAAATAATTTATTTTAAATTTAAAAAGTCCATGCTGATCGTGCAGCTCATCCATCTGCGATAGAGCAAGTCCGTGAAAAAATGAACTGTGAAGTAGCGAGGGACTACTGTATTCTTATTTAAACATTATTTGGTGCACCGACCTATTTAAAGATGTTTTTACTGGTCCGATGTTCCTTTTTTTCACAGTTTTTATGCTTTATATGAATTTTCAAAACCATATCCATGTAATTATCATTAAATAATATCATATAGTGGCTGCAGACATACAGTATTTATGTCCAGATCCAAACTTAGATTTATTTAGTTCCAAATTGGCCACATTTGTTTTGTTATTTTTTTCAATTATATCTTTTACCAAAGAGCTAATTTAAAATCATGATATTTCTTAGTTTGCATTATTTTTTTGTTCTGTTCTGTCTGATGTGACCGTGTTCACTTCTTCTCTTTGTTAGTTCATACCTTACCACAGATTGACTCGTAACTCTGCAGCACATTTCTGTTTTATATTAGGCACATATGTCCGCTGGGCCTGACAGACAGAGAACCTTTTCTTCCATTTAAAGGATTTATTTTCTTAGTTCTTGGTTAGAATCGATTGCTCTCCGCACCATAAAACAATTGTCCTTTCAAAGTTTTCAAATTCAAATTTGTTCTTTATCCATACAGACTACTATATAGTTAAATCTAAATAATGGGCTTGTGTCATAAAACATCAGTAAATTTGCATATGATTAGTGCAAAGCACATCATCGTATAGCAAAAGAAAAAATTACAGCAAAAAGTTACCAGCATTGTAGAAAAAGCTGGAAGCACTAGTTTTTCTGAAGCCGTTTTATGGAAAAATAATAATAACCTACAATTTACAAATTTAGTAAAATCTCTAGGGCAGTACCATCTCTGCAGGATAACAGTTTGTTTTCCACATTTTAAACCAAAATGGTGATCAGATGTTGCCCCTCCCTTGGCCTGCATACTTCATGGTCTTGACATGATTGCACCCCAGGCGCTCCTCCTGTACTTATGTCCCCATGACTCACTCTTCTCACTGATTACAATTTTTACCCATTGGCACCAGCAGGAATAAACATCTCAACCCACTTCAAAGTGGCCGTTGCTCCCTCTGACATCTATGGCCACAGACCAGACACGGGGATGTGCAAAACAGCTTGGTAACCAAACTCCAAACACAGTTTGGGTGATCCAACAATGATGTAGAGCCACCTAAGAGGCTCATGATGACCCAATGTTCCATTACAGTCAAAAAAGCTTAATAATAGATCTTGATTTAGTCATCAGCTGTGATTTTGTCTTATTTCTGGTCAGTAAATAAGTATCATTAAGCTGTGTCCCAGAAAAATGAGCATTTGTGTTTATTCTTACTGCAACTACTTCTCTTAAATAAGGAGTTACCGTAATTTGACTTTGTTTATCACAATGGTTGTACCTCAAAATGACCCAGTTTTGTTTGTTTCAGTACCCTGCAGCCCTGATGAACCTTGGTGCGATCCTGCACCTCAACGGGAAACTGCAAGACGCCGAAGCCAATTACCTCCGGGCGCTTCAGCTGAAACCGGACGACACCATCACCCAGTCAAATCTGCGTAAGCTGTGGAACATCATGGAGAAACAGAGCCTGAGGACCACGAGCCCCTGAGTTAGTTCACCCAGCCCGCTTACTCGCCATCTGCATGCCAGACACGAGGAAAAAACAGCCAACGCGCTCTGCATTCCTTTTACTCATCCAAGAGAGATAGAAGAGGCTAAGGGAGGATATTTGCAGAGACACCATGACTGCGCCGCACAGGCTCTCCTAATCACTGCTGAGCTCTGCAAACACCTCTGGCCAGCAGCTTTCCACAATATTACAGTTAGTCAGGCACTGTGTGGGATCTGGACACTAAAACTTTCTTCAAATGTATTGCTCCTTTTTTTTTTTTACTTTTAGAACACGTGAACCTGAAGGCCACAGTTATTCCAGCAGCATGAGATGAAATGAAAAAAAGATTGAAAATAATCTTGTGTAGCATTAAGAGTTCGTTCTGTCAAAACTTAAAAGATCATCATCATGATCAACATCATCTTAAATTCTAACTTATTCATTGTTACATTTTTTTTTTTTTTACTTTTTCTCAATGGGTCATGATTTGCTCATGAGATTACACTTTACATAAAAGTAGTGCCGTAATTGAGAACCATAATCTGTGAAAACTTGAAAAAAAAAAGGGAAATTTATTTATGCAGCACAACGATGGCCTCGGAAACAGCATGTTTTAGCAGACAAGCAAAAATGAGAAATTTCAGTGTCATTCTACTTTGTGTGTTCATTAATGTAGAAGTCGTTTTTATTGTTGTCACTTCTTGTTTTGCGCTGCTTAAAAGGTCACCGTGGCTGGTTTTTAACCTACGGAAACAAGCTATTAATGCAATTATTAAGCCATCTGTCTAACAAAAGGCTTCAGCTACACACTTCTCACTTTTCTACAAATTAGGGTTTGCAAACACGAGTCGGATGAGTTCTTCTAGCCAAAATGCAAAAGCTGTTTTGATGCCCAACTTTTAATCACAGAGCAGCCATTGGTGGTGCTTTTTAATGCCTTTTTGTTGAAATCTTTTATTTTTTTGTATTATTGAATTCTAATATATATACCAAATGTATAGTATATTAAAATCCATGCAGCAAAAAATAAATGAAAGCTCAGCTACTGAGCGAGTTTGGCTTGTTTCGATACTGTACAAGAATTTACAGTATTTTCAAAACTTTTTTTTTTTGTCTGATTTGTACATAATTTGTGTAATTCCCATTTAACTGTTTTATCATCAGCATTAAAAAGGGAAACAACACCTTCAGGAAAGTGAAAGTTTGTACAGTATTTGTTGTTGTTTGTTGGCCATGCTTCACCTTTGTGATTTGTCTTCGGTTCATCACTTTGTAAATGATTCCTCTGTGTTTCTTAGTAAGAGAACCAGCTGGCACTGTGTTTTTACATGTAAAGTGAAGGAAGTTAGAGGTTTTGTATTTGTCTGTGGTCATTATGAAGTGAAATTCTAAACGCACCCTCATGTGTACCCGTTTACAGAGCTTCATCTACAGTATGTTACTTGTTGCTGTCATAAAGCTCTCAACACTGTCCCGTTTTCTCTACGATGGTGAAAGGGAAATGTTAAGATCGTCACAGTTCACTTAGTTCACACACCCAACTTCACTTTCTTTTGCTCTTATGTATAAAGTGTTCATGGGAAAGTATCCAAGTTTTATCGGTCAAAAGACAGTTTTAAAAGCGTGTTTTGCTCTGTGTCTCTGCTCAGGGATCTCAAACAGTGGGCTATTGCAGAACTTTGATCACAGAGTGTCTACTAAATTAAAATTTATTTTTTGAAAGTTGTTGTATTTGTATAAATTGTCCAAATTTGTAGCCCTCTTTTCTCCCTTTTTTTTTTGTAAAATAAAAGAACAATTTGTCAGAACAGACATTTCCTTCGAGTGTTGCTTTGAATTTACAGTAACTTGAAGAATCTTGAGCTCTTTTGAGCAGATCTACGCTTCTTTTTTTAACCATCCATCCATCCATCCATGCATAAATTCATCCATTATCTTCTACCCGCTTCTTTCTCTTTGGGTTGCAGGGGTCACTGGTGCCCATGTCCAGCCATCACTGTGAGAGGGAGGTACACCCTGGACAGGTCTCCAGTCCATCACAGGGACACGGAGAGAACCACTCACTCTCTCACTCACACTTAGAAACAATTTAGAGTTACAAATCAGCCTAACATGCATGTTTTTGGTTTGTGGAAGGAAATCGGAGAAAACCCACGCATGCACGGAGAGAACATGCAAACTCCACCCAGAAAGGCCCCTGGACCGAATACACTTTCTACACTTCTGACCTTTAAGAACACAAAAGTTTGTGTTATTAAATGGCAAAGAGTGATAAAACTCAGTCTGAAGCTAGAGCTGCACTTTTAAGTGATTTTTTCCTGTCGTGTTCATGTGGGTATTAGACTTAATGGGATAGTCCTGCATGCATTGGAGCAGGTTTTACGGGGCATTTGAAGTCCTACCTTTCAAATTCGCTCAAAAGTGTCATAAAAACAAGTCAAATAAATCTCCCTTTTGATCCTTGAACAACAAAGCAGACATGTAAATATTCCCATATGGAAGGAGTAGCACAGTGTGTACATATGGCTGGTGGGTTTCTATTCCAACCACCCCCACAGTTTAGACCCCGCTGAGCAGCTAAAGCCAGTCGCTGAACAAACCAGTGTGCCTTGTGATGTTTCTCACAGGTCTGCTCCCATTATCTGAGCACACCGTGGTGTCCAGCTTTCCTTATTGCACAGGAATGTACACACTCCGCCTGCACTGTCTTGTCCACTTGGACTCTTCTTCTCAAAACACAGATGCACTTTAAGAAAATGAAGAAAAAATACAAATCTGCTTGTGCAGTCATGCTATAGAATACAGTTTATATTTTGCAATACAATACACTGGTTTTGTTTGATTTGTTTTAACATGTTAACCGTAACAGAATAAATGGTTTATTAAAGTTTTAAATTAAGACCTAGCGCTCCTTAAACAAATCTATTCCACCTGCCCTCTTTCATGTCTGCTTTCAACTAAGATCATGTGTTGAGAAATGACAGAGTTAGAACTGCAACATTGGAAAAGAGCTATTTTTTTGTGTTTTCTAAATACAGTTGGCTGTAATGGCCATCTTGCATTGGGTTTACTCCACAAGTGAATCAGCTGGAGATGTGCAACTGATGATTTTTTTTTCCCCTAAAGGTTTAATTAAAATAATTTGAATGGTTCATGACATATGTTGCCAACAAACGTAGATGATTTAAAAAAGTAGGTTTTTATAAGACCTTGAGCAATGTGTTAGTAATCCGTATGTGAGATAGTCTCGCACCAAATTTTAGATGGTCTGTCAAATACTTTAAGCCATTTTAGTGATTTTTTTTAAAGTCGGTTAGCTATAAAAGCCATCACAATTTGTAAATGAACATGAAGTCAGTACATTTGTACTTATTTGATGACTTTAGATGTTCATGATCCTTTTCAGGTCTTCTGGTAACACACAGGAACACACAGACATGAGCAAAGACAATATTCATCACTTTTCAGCTGCAGGCCATGATGATTTTTGTCTTAAATTTTATTTTATACATCGAGAAAAGGTGGAATCTGTTGCTGTGTGTGTATGCATGTGTTTGTTTATTCATTCATTCATTTATTACACTTGAAGTTAGATATAAATAATTTTACAACCTGATAAATACAGATCAATTTTATTATGACCTGATATCCAAAACCATAGAATCCGTGTCTCTTTGTTAATTTGTTTGCTTTCAAACTTTATCATTTAAAAAATAAAAATTGCATATTTTTTGCCTTTTCATTATAATAATTTCACAACCTGAAGTAACGAATTTTAGTAACAAATCACTTTTTGGTTTTAAATAAATTACAACTCAAACAATGTCCATCCATCCATCCATTATCTTTAACCGCTTATTCCATTTTGGGTCACAGGGGTCGCTGGTGCCCATGTCCAGCAATCACTGTGCAAGGGGCGGGGTACACCCTGGACAGGTCGCAAGTCCATCACAGGGACACATAGAGACAAACGAGACAAACAACCATTCACTCTCTCACTCACACCTAGGGACAATTTAGAGTTACCAATCAGCCTAACATGCATGTTTTTGGTCTGTGGGAGGAAACTGGAGAACCCGGAGAAAACCCATGCATGCACGGAGAGAACATGCAAACTCCACCCAGAAAGGCCCCTGGACCGGGGTTTGAACCAGGGACCTGCTCGCTGTGAGGCAGCAGCTCTACCAGTTGCGCCACCGTGCTGTCCTCAAACAATGTCAATATTTTTAAATGTTATTTTACCTTACTACTTTAATTTATTTGTTTTGAGTCCCACACTTACCTAAAGCTACTGGTTCTGGTCTTGTAAGTCCCAGGCTGCATGATCCAGGGCAGGTTGGGTCAGGAAGGGCATCAGGTGCAAAGGACTAGCCAAATCTTCTGTGTAAATTCACTTAATGTGGCAACAGAAGGGAACGGCCAAATAGAACAAAAAATAAGTCCCACATCTAAAAAATATGATTTTTTTCTCTCTGTTCTTTTGACTAAAGCATGTTTTATTGCTTTTTGACCTTTTGATCCCCCCAAAACCCTTCAAACTGTGCAAAAGAAAATGGTCTTACTATGCAATGATTCAGAAAATCTGCCTGCCATTATCAAGCACATATTTTGTGCTATGTGCTTATGAACTATCACTACTTTCATCTCCAGTGTCTGAGCCTGGCGCTCACGGCTCCAGACCTGTTTCTGTAAAAAGGTTTTCTGTGCGTGACGCTGAAAAGTCCTCCCTGCTGGAGCCAATGCACAGTGTTATTATTTGATAGAAAAAGCATTAAGATAAAGCTCCTGTACGAAACACCAATGCTGCCTCTTATTATTGAAGTTGTTTGATGTCAAGAAAGGAAATTGGGTTTTTTTTGTTTGTTTTTTTTTGGCTTCTTGTTAAAGTGCAGTTTGTTCTACTGCAGACTGATCAGACTGGAGATGCTGGTTCTACGTCATCAAGAAACTCATTTTCAAAATGTGGATTTCAGTCGGTCGGTCTTGTTTTAAATCTATTTTATGTCAGTGATATAATGGATTTGTCTCACAGGTAAAAAAAAAAAAAAAAAAAAAAAAGTAGACCTATGTGGCTTTGAATTATTTTTCATAATAATGCAGGTAATTTAAACAATATTACTTCCAATAAAACCACTAAAACATTTTATGACTTCCTACATAGAGTATGCTACAGGCATCGTGTCTGCAAACCTTCTGGTATGGGATGTAGACTGCAATCCTGTTTATTTGTGAACTCCTCCAGTTTCACCACATCACTGATTCAACAATGTAATCCAACGGATGAAAGGTAACTTTAATGTTCTG